CTGGACTGACCTATCCCCTTCCTAACTCCCTACCTACACTCACCTTTCCTGGCCCCATCCCCGCCTCTTCGACCTGTTTGTTTCTTCTCCACCTATCCTCTCCTCCATCCCTCTTCTATCCGCCTCCCACTCTCTCCCTATTTATTTCAAAACCCCCTTCCCCTCCCCCTTTTCTGATGAAGGGTCTAGGCCCGAAACGTCAGCCTCTCTGCTCCTATGATGCTGCTTGGCCTGCTGTGTTCATCCAGCCTTGCACCTTGTTGTCTCTAGACCTGAAACGTCAGCTTTCCTGCTCCTCTGATGTTGCTTGGTCTGCTGTGTTCATCCAGCTCTACACCTTGTTATCTCAGATTCTCCAGCATCTGCAGCTCCTACTATCTCTGAAACAAGAGTAGGCCACTTGGCCCTTTGAATCAGCTCCATCATTCAATACAATCATGGCTGATCTGATTTTTACTTGTACATTCCTGCATATCTCCGATAATCTCAGATCCCTTTGGTGATCAAGAATCTGTCTACTGCTGCCTTAAAAATATTTAAAGATTCTGCATCTACAGTCATTTGAGGAACGGAATTGCAAAGGCCTTGCCAACAGCATTTTGGAACATTAAGTGCGTCTAATATATCCATTGAATTTCTCATGGCAGCAGAATCTTTAAAAAGAATTCCATGGAGTTTGGCAAACAAGAACACTTCTTCTGAGTCTATAGGTGAGATTTTAACTCAATCAAAATCCATTTACTTGCACAGACTTAAAATTGAGCTCTCTACTCATTTACTTTATCAAACACAGAATTTCCACATACTCTCCCCAGTTCTTTAATATCATTTCCAAATCATGATGTACTAACTTATCCTTAGTTTCTAGCTATGTCCATTCACAGTGAATTACTGAGTTATGTTTGCCACTTGCCAATGCTCAGGGATCTTTCCTGTGTCTGCTGGTTTAAAATATGTCAGTTAAAACTTCCCTGACTACTAGCTCTTAAAAAGGACCACTACTGGTCAGTTGTAAGAATATTTAATCTAGTTAGACTAACAATTACTTCATAAGACTATAAAAAATTGAATCAAGAGTAGGCTGTTGGCTCCTCAAGTCTGCTCTTCCATTTAATAGGATCATGGCTGACCTAACATTCCCCGCATGCACTTTCCCCATAACCCTTGATTCCCCTACTGTTCAAGAATCTGTCTATCTTATCCACACAATGCCAAACGTCACCTTGGTGTCTTTGGGTATCTGATCTCAGACTTCAACACATTTTCACTCTTTTCCATCTTACAGCGATACAAATTAATCTTTAACATCATTGCACTTATCCTCTAATTTCAGTGAGCAGACGTACTGCTTTAGAAATGGCCCTATTTTAAAGCTTTGTCTACAACCTACAGTGGGTGGTCTCTGTATTGCTCCTTGATTGAATGAATGGATAGTCCTTTCCTTTAGCCTACATTAGCAGTCATAGGTTGATGAATAGAGCTCTCCTCTTTCAACCCAACAAAGCAAATGAGTTGTACAGCAGGACTGTGCCCTCACAGCACTGTTGATTAGATATATTCTTCATACGGCACTGGTTGATGCAGTCTTTTCCGGTGTTGTCATAAGAAATTATGTGATATAAACACAAAAGGAAAATACTCTGGATGCTGAAAATCCAGAATAAAAAATAGAAAATGCTAGAAATACACAGCGAGTCAGGTAGCATCTAGGACAGAGAAAAAGCTAATGTTTCAGGTTGATGAACTTTCACCAGAATCTTCAGAAAGTGAGACCCACTGTGTTCCAGGGGAAAAGAAAAATCTTGCATCTAACTTGAAATAAACTTAAGCTTCTGTAGAGTTCCAAAACTGAATTCTACCATCAGTTCAAACTTTGATGTTACTAAACAGTTGAAGATAAAACTTCTACATTAATCACATTCCTTAAAGTTCATCCATGTGATCACATAATTCGAATGCAACCTGCTAAACAGTAGCATTTTGCTAAAACGATAAATTATGGATTCTGACAACATTCCAGTTGCAGTACTGAAGACCTGAGCTCCAGAACTAGCTGCACCCTTAGCCAATAACAGAAAAATCTTTCCATACCCAACAGAATGGAAAATTGCCTAGGAACAGCCTGTCAATAAAACAGAGGACAAATCCAATTTGGCCAATTTTCACTCAATTGTTCTATTCTCAATCGTCAACCAAGTGGAGGAAAGTGTCATCAACAGTGCAATTAAGTGGCACGTGATTAATGATTACCTGCTCACCAATGCTCAGTTTTGGTTCAACCAATGCCACCTGGCTCCAGATTCATTACAGCTTTGGCTTAAACATAGACAAAAGAACTGAATTCTACAGGTGAGGCAAGAGTAGCTGCCCTTGAGATGAGGCAGCAATTGATCAACTGTGGAATAAAGCCGATCAAAGGGAAAACACTTTCCATCAGCTGGAGTTGTTCCTAGCAATTCAGGATACAATTGGATACAAAATTCACTTGATGGTAGGAGACACAGGGTGGTGGTGGAGGATTTTGTTTTGTCTGGAGGCCTGTGACCAGCAATGTTCTGCAGGGATTGGTGCTGGGTATGTGGTTTGTCATTTATATAAACGATTTGGATGAGAATTCAAGAATGATGATTAGTAAGTTTGAGGATAACACCAAGATTGGTGGTACAGTTGACAGTGAAGAAGGTTATCTAAGATTACAAAGGGATCTTGATTAATTGAGCCAATGGGCTGAGGAGTGGCAGATGGAGTTTAATTTGATTAAGTGTGGGGTATTGCATTTTGGTGAAGCGAACAAGGGCAGGATTTATATAGTTTATGGTCGGGCCCAGGGTAGTGTTGTCGAACAGAGACCTAGGGGGTCACGTACATAGTTCCTTGCATCACAGGTGGACAGGGTGGTTAAGAAGGCATTTTCCACACTTGCCTTCATTGCTCAGACTTGTGAGTGGAGGAGTCGGGATATCATGTTGAGGTTGTACAGGATGTTGGTGAGGCCACTTTTGGAGTATTGTGCACAACTCTGTCATCCTGCGATAGGAAGGATATTATTAAATTGGAGAGGTTCAGAAAAGCTTTATAAGGATGTGGCCGGGACTAAAGGGTTTGAGTGATAGAAAGAGGCTGGATAGTCTGGGACTTTTTTCACTGGAGAGTAGGAAGTTGAGGGGTGACCTTATGGAGGTTTATAAAATCGTGAGGGCATAGGTAAGTGAATAGCAAAGGTCTTTTTCCTAGGGTGGGGGAGTTCAAAACTAGGGGACATATTTTTAAGGTGACAAGAGAAAAATTTAAAGGGGACCTGAGAGGCAACATTTTCACACAGAGCGTGGTCCCTATGTGGAATAAACTACCAGAGGAAGTGGTAGATGCAGGTACAGTTACAACATTTAAAAGATATTTGCATAGGTACATGAATAGGAAAGGTTTGGAGGGATAAATGCAGGCAAGTAGGACTAGAAATTTGGTCAGCATGGGTGAGTTGAACTGAACAGTCTGTTTCATGCTTTTTGACTCAATGAGTCTAGTACTCAGGTTCAGCAGGTAAAAGGGCATTATGTAAATTTGCTGCAAATCTCCCAGTAAAACATTCAAATGAGATCTGATATTGCGATGCATTGGTAGCTAATTTAACTTTTGGATTCAATTACCTAAATTGGAAAAATTAAAATATATTTACTTATAGATTCTGGCCAGTTAGCTGGTTTTTGATGCTAACAGCACAAACACAATTCCCGCACCAGCTGAGGGTACCATGGCAGACTCTCCTTTTCAATTTCTCCCCTCACCTGATGCATAGTGATCCTCAAGTTAAACCACCACGAGCCATCTCTCTCTAATGGAAGAGTACCCCAATGGTTCTCTGGGACTAAGGCAGCTTTACCTTTATCTATGTGTACTGACTGATAACATACTTATAACCGATGCAAGAACACAGCATGCTTTATTTCTGTACATCAACCAATGCTAAATTTCAAAATGAAATGGTACTTAGCAATGGGGTGGAGGAATGGGACTACCCTGCAGCTGAGTAATTTGGATCACATCTGTGGGGATCTATGACATATTTCTAGACCGCAGGCATGGTGTAAAGAATGCTCAAAGATTTAATCATTCATTATATTCTCAACATAATCACATTGAAGTTTTGTAGTTTATCTTATGAATGTTTGTGCTGAAGCCCTTTCTTCAGAATTTGGATTTATTGCACTTTATGGGTACTAATGATGTCACCTTTACTGAAGAACTACTTTCTTCTGCACTGCTTTTGTAACTATAAATGATGCTACTGTCAGGTTTAACTGAAACTCTTGTATGGATGGTTTCAGGTATGTAACTTCAGTGATACGTGATATTTCAATGCAGCTAAACTCCTAGGTGCCTGCTGGATAGTTCTTTCGTACCTTTTCCTTCAGCAAATATTTTTCTTCCAGACCATTCACATGCAAAAGGTTCTTGGCAACCCCAACACAGGGCAAATCTGTGAGGACACCTAAGTGGCAGGCCACACCAAATTCTGTTAACCAAAAATAACAGAGATAATAAATACTCATGTAATTTACATAGAATACTGTCCGTGCGTAACTAAGCATTACGTCTTTTATTTGTATGTTACTCGTCAAATATACCAAGAAACTGCATAAGCTACTGATTACATGGATATAACGCAGCAGGGAAGGTCATTCAGCCTGTGCTTGCGACTTACACAATCCATCCTATTCCCCTACCCTTTCATTCCTGCAATATTTTTCTCCTTCAAGTATTCCCTTTTGCATGCTATTATTGAATCTGCTTCCACCACTGTTTCAAGCATAATAGAACATAACAATTCACTGCATAATGCAATTCTCCTTATCTTAACTCTGCTTCTTTTGCCAATTAACTTAAATTTGTGTCTCCTGGTTAATGATCCTCTGCTCCTAGGAACAATTTAATCTTACTTATTCCATCAAACCATTTCAAGGTTTTGAACATCTCCATTAAATCTTAGCTCTCTCTGCTTCATTAACCTCACTAATCCATCCATGAAGATCGATTCACTCACCCATCCATAGCACAAACTCCTCAACACTCTCTACAAGACCTAGACATTCTACTTAAAGTGTAGTGTCTATAAATGAACACAATATTCCAGATAAGGCCGAACTATTGTTTGATAACCATTTTGCATAACTTCCTTGCTTTTGTTCCCCTTACCTCTTTATAAAGCTGGAGACCCATGAACCTTTTAAAGTGTGCTTTTTGCAACTTGGCCTGCCACCTTCAAAATTTAAGCATATCCAGGTATTCCCATTCCTAAGCTCGTATAAAATTGTTCGTATTGCATCTTCTTAGTCTTTCTATCAAAATGCATCATTTCACATTTTCTTGCATTAAACTCGAGCATCAAGTTGCAAATGTGTTAAAAACCAAGCCAGCCAAGTCAATTCATTGTCAGGTGGCTCTCATGGGGTGAACAATAACAGCAAACGGAAGATGAGTCAATTCAGGTTTATGTGCATCGATGACTTCACTGTGGACATAAACCTATGACAGGAGACTGAGTCACTGTAAACGTCTGCTCACAACCAAATTACTATTCTTATAAGAAACACAAAAAAATTCTTACTTTTACGATTAGAAATTGGCACAAAGGAAGAATCCTGGGTGCTGCATTTTTGTCAAAGAACTCTTTCATTTGAATTATAACAAACGAAAATCCATTCAAAAATTATCTTTGACCTTTTAAAAAATAAATCAATGTTATCAGTTCTGTGGAGTTCCACTATCCAACTCTGTCTTCCCAGGAACAGGTGGCTTTGAATTTGCTAGTAGATCAAACTGAAATTATAGTTTCAGAGGGAATGTCACCAGCCAACCTAACAATGCCTAACATATGTGGATATACAAAGCACATTGTTCAAAAAAACTTGAAGGTTAGAAAACAGCAACTATTCTAAAAGCAATATACATTCAATAGACTTTCCTTCTCATTCAAGCAAAGGCTGTTCCAGCAGGAAAAAGTGTTTCCCTTCACTTTTTAAAAAAAATTTGCATCATGCAAGCTTCTCCTACAAATATTCCAATTTTGAAATTATTTGCCTCTTCCTTCAAGTCTCTTTCATTCACACAGCATTTTGTGATGACAACAGAAGGCAAGTAATTATATCCTTCAACTCTGCCAATACCTTATTGAGGCAGAAGGAGATGAGAATGAGCCATAATTTCTGTGTCTTCTTGAAATGAGGAAACATTCAGCTTTCATCCTACACATTTTTTTTAATGCACAAAGAAGAAATTATTGTGTGAGGAATTACAAGGAAAAGTCGGTGTATAATCATTTTAATTCTAATTTTTAGAATTTTTTGCCAAAAATTTTGAAGAACCCCAAGGTATCTTGGAAAATCCATACAAAATATAATATAATATATAATAATATAATATAATATAAAATTTCATTGGGCAATCATAAATCTGATAGACTCAAAAACATCTACAGCAGATGGAGGCATTTCTGCCTATCGTGTTCACATGGTCAACAAAGCTATACTACGCAAATCTACTTTGATAAGTGGAATTTTGTCACCATTGAGGAAATCTTGTCAGCAGAATGTCAAGTAGGTGGCTTGACTGCACGGGCAGGTGAAGAGAAACTTATTTGAAAATTGGGGCCATACAATTCACAGCTGACAAACAGGGCAGACATCGTATTTGAAAGGGGATGGTGTGTGTTTGTGTGCAGCTGTCAGCTGTAATGCAGCACCAGCAGAGGAGGATAAAAGGATAGCTGGACAAGAATAACAGGAGCATAATGCGAGCTATTGCAGGAGATGAGACCCATTGGAATTTGCAGACCTCACCTTTATGGTACTCAGTCACCTCACTGGTGAAACATAAGATCCACCTCAAATTGTTTACCAAGCTTGCTTAGCCTCTAGCTTCTCACTTCCGCACTTTAATTAGTCTCACCCACCTGCTACTGCAACTTTTTTGTTTCTCGATTCAGTTGTGGGACGTGGGTGTCGCTGGCTGGCTGGCATTTATTGCCTGTCCCTAGTTATCCTTGAGAAGGTGGTGGTGAGCTGACTTCTTAAACCGCTACAATCCACCTGCTGTAGGTTGACCCACAATGCCATTCAGGATGGTGAGTGACTTGGAGGTGGTGGTGTTCCCACCTGCTGCCTTTGTCCTTCTAGATGGAAGTGGTCGTGGGTTTGGAAGGTGCTGTCTGAGGATCTTCGGTGAATTTCTGCAGTGCATCTTGTAGATAGTACACACTGCTGTTACTGAGCGCCGGTAGTGGAGTGGATGCTTGTGAATGTAGTGCCAATCAAGCAGGCTGCTTTGTCCTGGATGGTGTTGAGCTTCTTGAGTGTTGTTGGGGCTGCACTCATCCAGGCAAGTGGGAAGTATTCCATCACGATCCTGACTTGTGCCTTGTAGATGGTGGACAGGCTTTTAGGAGTCAGGAGATGAGTTACTCGCTGCAGTATTCTTAGCTTCTGACCTGCTCTTGTAGCCACTGTATTTATGTGGTGAGTCCAGTTGAGTTTCTGGTCAATGACATCCCCCAGGATGTTGATAGTGGGGTATTCAGTGATGGTAACACCATTGAATGTCAAGGTGCAGTGGTTAGATTCTCTCTTATTGGTGATGGTCATAGCCTGGCATTTGTGTGGCACGTATGTCACTTGCCACATTCAACCCAAGCCTGGATATTGACCAGATCTTACTGCATTTGCTACCTGTAATAGTTGTAAACATCAGCCAATGCTGACCTGTGACTGAGTTCCCAATCTTCTTACAGATGGTGACGCCCTGAGACTTCATTCTTCACTGGCACATCAGGAAATAAAAGGAAAACTCAGGAAAATGTGAATGACCTTTAACTGCCCTTTGAAATGGTCTAGCAAGCCACTGATATGTGACCATCAAACCATAACAAAGTCTAAACAAAGGAATGAAACAGGGCAGACCACTGAGCATCAACTGAGACACCTGAATGACAATGGCAAATCCAGCCAGGCGGACCCTGCAAAGTCCTTGTTTTCAACATCTGACGGCTTGTGCCAAAACTGGGAGTGCTGTGCCACAGACTAGTCAACCAACACCCTAACATAGTCAATCGCACAGAACCTCACCTTAAAGACAGTGCCCCATCCCTGGGTATATACAGAAACATAGAAAATAGGAGCAGCAGTAGGCCACTCACCCTTCAAGCCTGTTCCTCCATTCAGTATGATCATGCCTGATCATTCCATTCTGCATCCTTTTCCCAGTTTTTTTTTTCCCATGTACCTTGATCCATTTATCCCCCTAAGAACTATATCCTGTCCTACTATTACAACTGACCCATTAGAGGACAAGGAAACTTCCTTCTGATTCCCATTAACCATACCCACAATCAATTTTGGTCATCGATGTAACGGAGGAAGAGGTGGGGGATAGTGCCAGTGTACTGCGGAAGACCTGCCTAGTCTTATTTACCTTATGCCAATTTGTACGTGGCTCATATAATAATCCTGAGATTATAACTTTAGTGGCTCTGCTTTTAGATCTAGCCCTGAACTGCTTGTAATCCTTCAGCAAAATCTCTTTTCTAGTCTTGCCTATGCCCATTAGTGTCCATTTGGACCATGGCACCTGGATCCTTCTCCTCCCAGTCCAAGCTCCTCTTCAGCCAAGAAGCAATGTCTTTAACTTTGGCATCAGACAGGCAACACAACCTTCAGGACTCTGTCTGTTGCACAGAACAGTATATACTCCTCCAACTATATTATTCCCTGTTACTACTACATTCCTTGTCTCCCCACTTGAATAGCACTCTGTACCACGATGCTTTAATCAGTTCACTCATCCTCCCTGCAGTCTGTGCTCCAGTCAATACGGCAAGCAAGAACCTGATACCTACTGGACAAAGATAATGGTTGAGGCTCCTCCAAATCTAAATTCTAATCCCATTATCTACCTCACTTGCAGTCATACCTTCCTTTCCCTGACCACAGACCAAATTTGATGTAATTAATCTAAGAGGTCAAATTGACTTATGAAACACAGAGTCCAGTTAATGTGTCACAGTGTTCACAACTTAGAAATCATAGACTCCCTTCAATGCAGATAGAGGCCATTCAGCCCATTGAGTCTGCACTGTCCTTCCGAAGAGCATCCCCCACCCTATCCCTCTAACCCTGCATTAACGCTAGCTAACCCATCTAGCCTGTACAACCCTGGACACTACAGGACAATCTACCATGGTCAATTCACTTAACCTGCATATATTTGGACTGTGGGAGGAAACACATGCAGACACAGGGAGAATGTGCAAACTCCACACAGACAGTCACCCAAGGCTTGAATCGAACCTGGGTACCTGGAACTGTGAGGCAGCAGTGTTAACTACTGAGCCACAGTGCCGCACTGACTTGGACTCCAGCTCATCAACTCTGAGCGGTCTCTCCAGACACCTCTATTCTCTAATAATTAATAAAAATATATGTTAAATAGTATAAATATGTACTTATCTACATTCTTCAGCTGTAACATCATTTGATTTAAACCACTTGACGAACCAAAAGAGACACCTACAAATCACCTACTGGCTCTCCTGTGATGTCAAACTTTCGGCTAGACAGGTAGAGACAGAGTTTAAGAGGCTCTCTGCCATCAGTTTTTATCTCCCATCACTACTGCCCTTCTACCACAAGTCTTTTCCAACAGATGTTTCACAGTGATATTGACTTGCTGCACACACCTCCCCTAGTCTGTTTCACAGAGATACTGACCTATGGCACCCATCTCCCAGTCTGCTTCACAGTGATACTGACCTACTGCACACTCCTCCCAGTCTGTTTCACACCGATGCTAATGTGCTGCACACTCCTCCCAATCTGTTTCACACCGATGCTAACGTGCTGCACACTCCTCCCAGCCTGTTTCTCACCGATGCTGACAGGCTGCACATACCTCCCAGACTGCTTCAGTGATGTTGACCTGCTGCACACTCCTCCCAGTCTGTTTCACAGCAATGCTGACCTGCTGCACACACCTCCTCAGTCTGTTTCACAGCAATGCTAACGTGCTGCACACACCTCCCAGTCTGCTTCACAGTGTTGCAGACCTGCTGCACACATCTCCCAGTCTGCTTCACAGTGATACTGACCTGCTGCACACTCTTTCCAGTCTGCTTCACAGTGATACTGACCTGCTGCACACTCTTTCCAGTCTGCTTCACAGTGATACTGACCTGCTGCACACACCTACCCAGTCTGCTTCACAGCAATGCTAACTTGCTGCACACACCTCCCCAGTCTGCTTCACAGCGATGCTGAGCTGCTGCACTCACTTCCCAATCTGCTTCACAATGATACTGACCTGCTGCACACACGTCCCAGTCTGTTTCACAGCAATGCTGACCTGCTGCACACACCTCCCAGTCTGTTTCCCAGTCTTACTGAGCTGCTGCATCCACCTTTCAGTCTGCTTCACAGTGATGCTGACCTGCTGCACCCACCTCCCAGTCTGCTTCACAGCAATGCTAACCTGCTGCACATTCCTCCCAGTCTGTTTCACAGTGATACTAACCTGCTGCACACTCCTCCCAGTATGCTCCACCTTGTTATTGACCTGCCGCACACACCTCCCGGTCTGCTTCACCTTGTTATTGACTTGCTGCACACTCCTCCCAGTCCAATGTATAAACTACTCCCCCCAGCTTGTGGGCTCCTTAACAGGCTCAGTTGCCTGCTAACTGCTGACAAGCACAGTCTCCATCTTGCAGATCAACCGCCTCTTGAAATTCTGACATAAGAATTGGTAAGACAGCTTTAGGGAGTGAAAATATGTATATTTTTTAAGGACTTATCTTCAGACTTTCTCAAAGGCTATTTTAGCTTTTGGAGGCTAACTTTTCATTCTCATTAACTTATTTATTAGGTGATGCAGTCACATAGTAAGTTTTGTTTTTGTGTTCACATATGGATTATTCAGACTCACACAGAAACTGAATTGGAAGAATGCATCAATATCATCAGTAATAATTCTCCATTAAATATAAAGCCACAACACACATGAAAGGCATTAGTTTCCTGGATATCACAGTATTTAAATTGGTACAAAACAACAAGCATAAGTCAGCAATAACAGTTTCAAGATCACTTGACATATGTTTCTACATACAAAAAACCATCACCCCTAAGCATGCCTTCGACACATTGGTGAGGTCACGGCTAATGTGTTTCCTTCACATTTGCACAAAGCTGGAACATTTTAACCAGGCAGTTACTACCCTTTTAACTGGATCTTAGATTTCAATCTCAGATTTGAATTTAGCAATTACTATAGTTTTCATTACTGTAGGATTCAAACACTTTTTGTTAAGTATAATGGCTCCTGAATCTAGTAGCCTTAAACTGGAAATTCCACCTTGATTTGCAAGGAATTAATTACTTTAGTGACTTAAAGTTTTCTTGGATCCCAGTTAGCTGAGTATTCATTTGTTGACATATTTAATACTGTTTCTCTCCAACTCTTCCTCTCTTCTTGTAGCCTCTTTCTCCCCCACACCCATTTTGCAGCTGCCACCTTGGCTAAAGGCAAACCCTAAGGTCTGCCTTGGTTAAAGATGCACCTCCACACCCCTGAGCCCTGCCTTGATTGAAGATGGTGCATGAGCCAGGACTCAGCTCAAGCCAGTTCCTGGCAAATACTGCGTTACTATCACTTACTTTCGGAACTGTTGGTTGCTTCTCCATTTACAGGTTGCTTTTCTCCCACGTTGATTGCTAGCAAGCATGGGAGAGAACTGGCCTGAGATTGGAAGAGCAGCACCTCACCATTTCCATCCATTCTATTTATGAGAACAATATTTCTCTGATTGGTTAATCCTGAGAGTGGATTTTCCCTGGTGATTTGGGGCTTTTGGGGGTGAATTCACCCACAGCACCCATGTATTTTGTGTGTTGGAGACCTCACGTTAATTTTAAGGGTACAAAGTCAGCTACCACAAGTTAAATTTCTCTCAAGTATGTCTACTTATAGATAAAAATACATTTGATGAAATGTTTAATAAAATATTTTTGGGTTCCTGAGATGAATCTCTGTAATAATGTTTCCACATGCTCTGAGTAGCTAACTCTTCTTCTTTCAATTTTTACCTTCAAGTCTTTTGCAATTTTCTTCATCCTCACTAATTGTTGGTTGGTTATTTTCTGCTTTGCAGTTCATTATTCTTATTGTGTAAATCCTTTTAATTTGCTCTCCGATTATGTTTATTAAAAAAGTTTACTGCTTCACGAACATTCAACTGACAGTTTCTCTTGCACCTCATTATCTTTAAAAGTGGCAACAAAGCTCATTCTAAGCCTATCCGCAGTCAATGCTCATCAGCCCTAATTCCCACTAGTTTCCAACTGGAGTGCTAGGGACCAATTCTATCATTCAACAGTAAATCAACGGTTCCCCATCATAATTCCTTAAAGAAGTGGAACTACAACAACTAGCATGCAACATTAATGTGTGTTATTTTTTAAAAAAGTTAACGTGCAATGATCTATTTTGGAGCTGCCTTGCTGTTCCCTCTGTAGAGGAAGTAGAGCCACACAACTGGCTCATGAAAGATTAATGTGCAAGTGAGGTCATCCTCTGTACAACAAGAACTGACTCCTCCCACTTTTCCCACCCTCCTACTGTCGAGCTCAAAATCAGTCAAGGAAACATCATCTGTATCTGACTGAAAGCCACATGGATGTGCTGCTGCAAAGCACAGTACATATTATGGGATCTCAGAGGAAAACTGCTGTAAACAAAACTGGACTGCAGGTTCTGCAGTATCAGTAAATGAGATTATGGGAGATCTCCTCATTACCGCTCTGAAATAAGCACTGATTAAAGGGACTGAAACAAATTGATGATTCCCAGCATGCAGTGACTAATGGAAGCATATTGGCAAGCTTGGTAGTATTAGTTTTTAAATTAATAGGATAACACTTCATATTTTACAGACACAGTACGTGAACGTGACATTCACACAGGCTCCAACATGTTCATATTTGAAAGAAATTTAATTGTTACTGTGAAAAGAACTTTAGAGATGAAATTTGTTTAAAACTTTCATAATAATGGTTGAAACCTTAAACTGGTAGGGTTAATATTTAGATGGATGAACATAAAGAAATCAACATAGTACAAATAATGTGTAAATAACCACTACATGTTGATTTAAAAAGTGGGCTGCTTACCTCGGTGATGCAAAATTCCATTTCCATCTGCAAAAATAACCTGCATATTGATAAATAATGTTAATGAAATAGATTGACATAGCACTGCTGCAAGGGGTAAGCTTGAGATAAGATAATTTTAAAATATACTTGATTTGTGAGCTTCAATATGTTTAACTAGAATTAATGTTGCACATTTAAGCTCCTTACTAAACAGTTCATTACAGTGTTTGGATCAAATTCTTTTACAAAAGAACACCTATTATTTGTCATAATTTGATTACATGAAAATTTCAAGCCTTGTAACAATGTATTGTAATATATGCAATAGTAATGATTTTTCCTGTGATACATACTGTGAAAAATGTGGTAATTTGCAGGCGTTCTCTCAGGGTTCAGCAGACTGTCAGGTCATATGTCATACAATCAATAATAGTCTTCTGTCACTTGCCATTACTTTCATCTTCAAACGGCATCATAAAACATCCATATCAAACAAATAGACTGTTGGATGACCCCACATTACCCAGAAAATGAATTCCAACCTAAAAAATGTCACTATCTTGCACATTTATTATAAATAATAACATATACCTCTAGGTGACTTTAAGGCACAAATCTAATTTCAGACTTCAAATGACATTCATAAACTACTCAAGCTTTCATGGCATTAACCCTTCAAATTCCTTACTGTCTCTGGATTCATCTTTGGTAAATGTTGATCACATCAGAGCTCCACTGGAGCTGTTTTTTCTTCCGTTTGCTTAAAAGTAACCGTACTATTCATTGAGAAGGATTCTTATTTCATCTAACGAGTCCAAGTCTCTTTCCAGGCTGTAAGTTAACACACTGGAGCCCTTTGTCAGAAAGGCCTGGATGCATAGATTAACTAAAAACCATTCTAAAAAATAGCCAGGTGCCATTACTATTGCCATAGAGGGCGCTGAAAAAAACTATGCTACTAAAATGTAGCACAACAGTTAACACATTTATGAGCAGGAATTTGTGCTGGGGAACTGTGCAAACCCAATTCCTAATTACTAAGCAAACTGACTTTTGGAAGGAATAGGTTCCTGAAATTGACAAGAGAAAAATGATATTTTCCTGAACAACTTTTGAATTCCATGTAGAAAAGAAGGATTTGTGGTTATTTTAAATGGTTAATCACTTACAGATCACTAAAGCGAAATAATTCAATTTGGTTATTTTTGTTTTGAAAATTCTTATCTTGATTACCGTGTTGACTACATCACAATACATGTCACATCTTAAAAATCACATGACACAGTTTCACTATCCTGGATATTGTGCTAATGAAATCTAATGCAATTTATTCAAAAATATTCACTCATTTGTAAGAATGCTCTTGTATTTTTACCTGAGGGAGAAGACTGGGGTCCTTGAGTTGTAGTCTTTTCAAAGCTTCTTCCAGGAAAGGTGTCTCCCGAAATGCCAGAAAGCCTGGGATGTAAGGAGTAGTTAGGCAAACCATCCAGCATTCCTCATAGACAACCTGAGCACAGTAAAAACAAAGAAAAATGGAAATAATAATGATGACAAACAATGTATGAATCCATGTAATTCTTAGTGCATTTTAATTTCAAAAGGTATATACTGTCACATTATTCTTAAGGTAGACCATTTGAAAATGTGGACAGCAGAAAATCTGTTGTAAATATGAGCAGCTGAACAGCCATCTCTGTTAGTGCCTGTGATTACTTGCAGCTTTCAAATTACTGGCATCTTTTGTTTTTTTCCATTTCCATTTAAAAATTAGTTCTCTTCTGCGCCAAGCAGCAACACTACAAGAAAAGCACCGCACACTCTCTTTTTATTCATTCAGGGGATGTGGGCCTTGTTGGGCCAGCATTAATTACCCATCCCTAATTGTCCTTGAGACGGTGATACTGAACTGCCTTCTTGAACTGCTGCAGTCCATTTTTAGTGTAGAACACCCACAATGCTGTTTGGGAGGAATTTCCAGGAATTTGACCCAGTTAACAGTGAAAGAATGTTGAATGTTGATACATTTCCAAGTCAAGATGGTGAGTGGCTTGAAGAGGAGATTGCACGTGGTGGCACTCCCTTACATCTGCTGGCCTTGTCCTTCTAGATGGCAGTGATCATATGTTTGGAAAGGGCTGTTTAAGGAGCCTTGGCATCTTGTAGATAGTACACACTGTTGCTACTGTGTGTTAGTGTCAATCAAGCATGCTGCTTTGTCCTGAATGATGTTAAACTTCTCGAGTGTTTGTTATGTACTCAGACAGGCATATGGGGAGTATACCATCATGCAGATGGGTAAACAGGCATTGGGAGTCAGGAAGCGAGTTATTCGCTGCTCGATTCTTTGCCTTTGGCCTGTTCTTGTAGCCACCACTGTATTTATATGACTCGTTCAGTTCAATTTCTGGTCAACGTTTATTCACAGGATGCCTGGTAAGCTATAAAGGGGAGATATAACTGTACATAATGCATTTGAGTTGTTCTGGATATGGCATCTCATGCTGGAGTTTCAGAGTTTCATTCCCATAGGAAGTTGGCACCTTTTAATAATGTATGAATGTGATAGTTTGAAAAATAAAACTTTTTTCTGTGGTTTGATGAAATCTTTAAAACTCATTCTTAAGAGTTTACCTTGTTAAGAAATGGAACAACAAACATTTGAAATCTGAAATAAGAACAGAAGCAACTGGAATTATGCAACAGACCATTCAGCATCTATAAAGGGAAAGATTATCAAGCTTGGGTATGAATCTTTAGTTAATCATCAATACCTGTCTTTTCTCTTCAAAGATGTTAATTGCTTGTGTTTTTGCGTTTATAAACAATCAATGATTAAAAAGCTACAAAGTGGTGACTTTGCTGGAGAAGTGGTAGAAATATTTAGTGAAAGCTTACTTAGAACCTGCTCTGAATTTGACTAATGATTAGTATGAATAATCTGCTGACTGAAATATTTACTGTTGACTGATCTCTATCAGTGAGATCAGTGTCCACTTTAGAATTACTGCAGCTGAATCAGTGACTGAAATTGTAATGGTAGTTTCTATGGAGATGGGTTAAAGAAACACTAAAAGTATATGAATCGTTCAACATTTGTATATTTGGAACCATCTGCTACTGGGTAAGATGATTAGATGGACTAGATGAAGATTTAAAAATTTCAAAGTATAGCAATAAGCAACAAAAGTAAAAATAAATGTTTCAAGTTACTGTATTACGATATGATCCTACTGATATTAGGACATGTTGCAAGTGTTGACTACTGATTTCTAAGATACAGTGCAAAATTGTCCTGATTATTCAACAATATGCAGGGATAGTAATTAGTAATTATTGTCAGTAGACAACTGTATTGCAGGCTCAGTTTATATCCAAATCTTTGAATTATTTTCTTTGCCACGAAACAACATATTTATTTTTTAATACTTTTTTTCAAAACTGCTGCCTGTATATGCATCACTTTTTAAAGCTAGTTCATTTTTATCCATGTGATTTTCTACTTAAGATCAAGAATGTGAAGCATTCACATACATTTCACTTCGAGATCATCAACCTCATATCTGAGATCTCCAAGAAATTCCATCCTCCACTCTTTAAGCCACAGCTACTGAAATGTTCATTTAGGACTAAAATAATCTTTTGACCATTCAAGCATCTTAGATTGCTGCCACGACAGACTGTTTGTATGTGCTGGTGCAGAATCAGGGCATGACAATTTTGAAATGATGGCCTTTGCATGACTAAGCCAGAACTGTTCCGTGACTGTTTAGTTGGAACTGATCATACAGATGTGCCTTATGAAAAATGTTTCCACTCTCTAGATATTGCAAATACTCCACCTTATGATCCTAGATAAAACATCCACCATCTTCTTAACTGTGAAAGCTGCAAAGCTCTTTAACTGTACAATGCTACATTTCCTTTAATTAAGAATGAGGCATTGAAATGTGTCTTTTTCAGCTCAGGGCCATTGTTCCTCAGGTTGGCATACTGTGTAGACTGCCTTTCTTATTGCTTCATGTGCAATTTGAGCGGTCTCCGTCCTATATCCCGTGGCGCTATCCGAATCTCATTATTTTCTACCATCTTCAATACCTGCCTCAAAACTATGATCTTTGTTCTCGACTTTACTAAGTTCCCCTAAATCTTTTCCTCTCATCTCACCATCTGTTTCCTACATTATTGTTAGAGGTACTATATAAATGCACGTTTCTGTTGTACATTATTTTGTTTTACCAAAATGAAGCGGATTGTTCTTTGCACATTTCTAGTGTCACTTATTAATTGTATATAGCAATCACCAACAGATGTTTCAAGTATCTGATTTTACCTTAAGATCTGGATAATTGAGAACTACTAATGAGGCACAAGCGTTGACTTCATCTCCCTTGATGTAAGATAAATCCACACCACCAATGCGTTCTAAACCTTCAAAAACTTCATTACTCTGCCAGTCCTCAGTGTCGTGGTCAATCATTTGCTCTTTCAACTCCATCTGCTGCCTGTTTGAAGGAAGTCAAGGTCAGTATTTAAGCATTGCAGCAAACCATAAATAATCCATGATAACAAATTCAATGAAGCATTAAAAGATGGATGTCGAAGCTTGCTAAAACTGGCAAACCAATGCTGCCATTTGTCAATACAGGCCAATGCAGAGGTGCTTGGTCTCTGTTCCATGTGTGCCATTGTGGATTCTTTTAATCAGAGTTGGATATGCAGAGGGACAAATTTTCATAATGCAAGCTTTTCAGTCCCTTTTCTTCGGCGCACGCAGTCCTTCCTCACACAATGGAGTAGTAAAGGCTTGGAAAAGTACCACTGCGCAGCATTCATTGAATTCGGCTGAGCAACTGTCCCAAGTGCATGTTGAAGTTGAAAGAAAAGAAATGGTACAGCTGAGATCTATAAATTCATGCAAGTATACACATACTTCTTCAATAGGAAAGTGCTGTTATATTTCACCTTTTTTTTGCAAGATGGAGACATTATTTCCTATTTTTTCAGGCACACTTCAGTAAATTGGAACACTGCAGAATAAGAGTGACATTCAAGAACAGCAAACGTTATGGAGTAGCAAAAATGGGATGAATGCAACTAGAACCATACTCTAAGGATTTGTGCTGAGAATTCAATTGTTAAATTATTTAGATGACAGGATGGGAAAGTAAGGATCTAAAATAGTAAACGGTTAAATGATAAGCCTTAGTCTTCCAGTTAAGGTACTGCAGTTAACAGATAAAGAAAACAACCTTCTGGCATTATAATACCAAATTGAGAAATTGCCGCATTACTACTATCACGTAGGTTATTGTGATTTTGCAAAATTGCTTACACAGTAGGGAGTACACCTCACTTACATTTTGCAGATGATTTACACTTCAGAATCCTCATATCTGGCAGGTTACTGCCTACTATGGACATTTGATTTCCGGTTTCTGGAGAATCCAAGGTTGATTCTCTTACCAAGGGAATTAAACTTCATCCACCTCACAATCATCTACTAGAGTAATCTAGACAAGCAACAATTAAGAGAATCAGACTTTGCATATATCCACTATTATTACACATGTTTCCACTCCTCACCTCCCCACTCCCACCCTGGTTTTCCTATATCCATCATCAACGTCCATTACTGGCAACATCCAATGAGAACGGTTGCTAGGCATCTCAACCCAAACACACGAAAATGCTCATGACATAGACGTCAAACCTTTTAAAGCCAAAGTTAGGACTGGTTTGTTGGAATGAAACCCACATCATCCAACTGAAAGCTTGATTTGCTACTTTTGCACCTCTGGATCAATCTAACGTCGGAGCTTAAAGCAATATATTAATATTTTACTGCTAAAAAAACACATCTTTTAAGGCTTAATCTATATAACTTTAATAGTTTAAACAGATACCTTTTTACACGATATTTATCTTCCTAATAGGAAGCCACATATTCAAGTTTGTCAGTGACACAAAAAGAGGTAACACTGTAAAATAACATGGATGAAATCATAAATTTATATTGAAATATTAATAGTTTATGAATGTGGCATGTGGATTTCAAAACTGTCTAGGCATCGAGAGGTGAACCTAAAAAGAAGAGTATTTCCTATTTTAAAAAAAACATGGCTTGTGGATGTGAGATAGCAGGAACTGCAGATGCTGGAGAATCCGAGACAACAAGGTGCAGAGCTGGATGAACGCAGCAGGCCAAGCAGCAT